TCCTGCTGAGTTAGCTGGTGCACCAGCTCAGGGCAGTTTGCTGGGAGCCGGAGCCTCCAGTTCCTTCCCCTTCACCCCCTGGGCACTGGGTCTGAGGGGCCAGGCTGCCCCCTCAGGCTCCTGTCTGCTGCATGCAGGGCTCCTGGTGCTGGCCGTGGGCATGGACGGGGCGGATCGCGAACAGCTGCGCCGCATCGTCACCAGCGAAGACCCGCGCCATGTTTTCTATGCCAAGGACTCGAGTGCCGGCCTGTCGGAGCTGGAGGACGGGCTTGCTGGCGCCCTCTGCAGGGTGATTGCCACGGACAGGGTAAGGGGGAGAGCGAAGGAGGGAGCTCCCTCCTGCCCCAGCTGCAGGCCCTGGAGCTATCCCACAGCCAGGAGGGAGCTGCGGTGCGGGAGGGCACAGGGAGCTGGTGGCTGAAGCTATGGGGCTGGGGCAGTTCTCCTTTCCTCCTGCACAGGCAGCATCTCCGTGATGCATGGGTCTAATGTCTCCCTGCAGGTGGGGGGGCGCTGCTTCCTGGCTCCCGGCCCTGGGGGCATGGCATGGGGTGGAACTGACTTGGCTGCCCAGGGCACTGTCTAATACAGAACTTTTTCCCCTCAGGAGGAACCCTGCGCAGTGCAGTGTCCCAAGGTGAGTCCCTCTCCAGCCAGCACCTCTGCAGCTTCCTCCCACGGGGGAGTGCTGCAGGAGTGTGACTGCAGATAGCTGGAGGGGATCCATGCAGGGAGCAGCTGGGGCTGGCTGGTGAGCAGTGGGAGGGGAGGCAGCGTGGAAGACCTGCTAGGGAGGGAACAGGGGAGGGGGAACATGCTGGAGTGGAGGGGTGTGGCAAAGAGGACTCCAGGCTCTGGTAAAGTAGGGAGTCAGGGGACATCCAGGTGCCCTTGGGAGGTGAGCAAATACCTGGTAGGTGGGTGACTCACCCCCAGGCGTAACTGCAGAGGGAGTGGGCTGCTTCCAGCCCAGAGCCCTGGGCCACAGCTGTGGGTGAGGGCACGTGGCTGCTGGTGAGGAAGGTGGGGAGAGATGAGTTGGGTGATGGCTTTTCCCTGCCAGCTCTGCACTGAGCCCTGGTGCAGCCTGGCCATCCCCCTGGCTCTCTGTGCTGCCTCAGGAAGTGGCCAGGCCTAGGGATGGGGGCAGAGATGCTCCTTCTGCCTGTTGCTGTGCTGCCTCCTAAGCAGCCTCTTTCGCTGTTTTGCTGCAGGGTGAGAAGGGGGAGCCTGGTCCGACTGTGAGTATTGCAGCGTTTGCTGGAGGGGTGCCGGGTGGGGGAGGGGTCTGCTCCCCATCCAGGGGCTGCGAGGCCACTTTGGTTGAGTGGCTCAGCAGATGGACTTAGCTCCTGGGAGCCAGAAGGGCCTAGGAACAGCCATTCATCCCTATCTTTGTCTCTCTGTGCAGGGGCCGCAAGGACGTGCAGGACAGCCCGGGCCCCCTGGACAGCCGGTAGCACCCTCTACTTCTCCCTCTGTGGGTGGGTCCTGGGCTTGGAGGGTCGTGGCGCTGAGCTCTAGCTGCACTCGGTGCATGTGCAGGCCCTGTGCAAGCCTGGAAATAGGCTGAGATTGGGGAGCCGGCAGCCCCAGAGCCTCGGTGCAGTGGGGGTTGGTGAGAGGAGCAACACAGGGGCTTTTAGGGGATCTTATTACCTATCCCCAGTGTCACTCCAGTAAGCAGGCAGGAGGAGATCAAGGGACCCCTCCCTGGGCCTTCTGCTGTGCTGAGTTCCATGGCTTGCCCTGGGAAAGCTTCTAGTGGCAGCTAGTGCTCCTGCCTCTGCGTTGGAGAGGTGCAGAGAGCAGGAGAAGGAGGGGTTTCAGGGTGATCAGTACCCCCCCAGCCTGCCCTTCCCACTGGGAGGCATCCCCACAGAACAGCCCCATTTCATTTCTCCATGGCTGTTTTCTCTCCTCTGTTCTCTCTAGGGGCTCAATGGGCTTCCGGGCCCCCCAGGGCCAGTGGGACCACGGGGTGCCCCAGGCGAGATCATCGAGCGGCCAGGCGCGAAGGGGGACAGGGTAAGTGAGGGCCCTTCAGGCCCCCTGCTGGGGTCATGCTGTGGGGGAGAGGGCAGGGCACTGGATGGCTGCATTGTAGGGGCAGAGCATCCACTTCGTTCACCTGTGATCCCCTTCAGAGCCAGTGTCCACTGGGTGCATCCTCCAGGCTCCTGGTCACTATGGAACCCCTTGGGGTTGTTGTTTGTGGCACACATGCCCATGGGGCCCAGTGGCCGTGTTGGGCACTAGGGGCACGGACAGCACCAGCTACAAGGCACTGAGCACCTGGCCCTTTGGGTGTGGTGAGTACCAGGGGCACAGACTGCACTGGGTGAGTGATACTGGGGCAATTGGCAGTGCGGGTGCCAGGGCACAGACAGCACTGGGTAAAAGGCACTAGTGCTGTTGGCGGTGCTGAGTGCAGGCAGCACGGACAGCGCAGGGTAAAAAACAGAGTGCCCAGCTCACCAGCAGTGCTGGGGATGTAAGTCTCCCAGCCAGTGTTCCCGCTAATCTTTCCTACCCGTGTTTTGTGTGCCCCGGGGCATGTGCGAATGTGCACCACCAGCAGAAACTCAAACCTGTCTGTGGGTGCTGGGCGGCACTGGAAACTCCTGAGTGGCCACACAAGCGCCCAGCAAACACGGCTTACAGCTCCCTTTCTTCTGGAGTTTCTCCGGCACTGGGACCCAGGAGGGAGCCTGTCCTCATGGAATCCCTTGGGGAGCTAAATGCAAGTCCAAATGGGGCTCTGCAGTGAAAGCTTGGGCCCAATCCCAGCAGAGAGGGCCCTCGAAGCCGAGCTGGGGTAGCTTTGAATGTTGATGGGTGTTCGCTCTGGGGGGTGAGCCTGGCCGGGAAGGGTGGGGACAATGGCCAGGGCAGAGCCTCGGCCTGCTGGTTTATTCCCCTCTCCATTCCCAGGGATTTCCCGGAATAGATGGGACCTCAGGAAGTCCTGGTCGCCCTGGCAACCCTGGCTCCCCTGGCCAGCCAGTAAGTGATTCCTCCTAGTTCCTCTTCCAGGGGGCATGCACGTACCTCCTCTCTTGGCTTCGGAGCCCTGCTCCCTTGGCCAAAGGACACTCCTCATTTGGTCCTTTGATTTTTTTTTTCCAGGGCAGCCAAGGCATTCCCGGTCTCCGAGGAGTCCCGGTATGTAGTGCTCTAGCTTCCCCATCAGCCTTGCTCCCCACTCCGGGGCACCCCACTCATTATATTGCCTTTTCCTTCCAGGGGGAGCAGGGCCCAGTGGGGCCTCCGGGGCTGCGGGGACAGAAAGGCGAGCCGGTAGGTAGAAGTGCATCCCGTCCAGCGCTGCCTAATGGGGCCACCATCTTGGATTCCCCACGGAGCAGGGCAATCCCAAAGGCTCTGCTTGCAGGCGCCTAGCCGGGGGCTGCGTTGAAAGTGTCTGGGGTTCCCAGGCCCCTCCCATCTTGTGTAACTCCTGATCCTGCCAACCTCTGTGTCCTACAGCCCTACCAGGCAGTGCTGGCACGGGCAGGTTCTAGCATTGGCAAGAGGAAGGCCCTCCAGTCACCTGAGATCCAGTTAGACACCTCCCTGTAAATTACACTCGTTTCATATGGAGTTACAGCACCACACCCAAGGTGAGCTGGGTGGGACCCGCTCAGAGCTCGGGACGGTGTCTCCATTGGCTTTGGAGTGCTGCGAACAACTCAATAGGAATTGCTCTCCTTGGATCTCGGTGCCCTCTCCAGTGCCTGGGCGCTGTGCTGCCAGATAAGCCCCAAAACTAAGTCCCTGGTCACCTGTGGCCACCAGTCTGGCACTCGCCCCCATGTCCTGGCCAGAGTCCCACTCTGGGAACTTTGTGCAGCCTTCCCCTGTTCCTTCTTCACAGCCTCTGTGGGGCAGTGTTGCTGCGACAGGGCCATGTCCTCTCCCAGGGACACTGTGGCCCGTGGGCATGGGGCTGGGCTGGTGCACTGAGTTTCGACGTTCTATTTTGTGCAGGGAGAGCCGGGGGTGATTGTGAATGGAGGAGGGAGGCTGCCTGGCCGGAAAGGGGAGCCTGGCAGTCCGGTACGTAGTGGAAAGCAGGTTTGGATGGTGCGGTTTTTGGGGTACAGGAGCACGGGCCCTGGCTCCCACAGTGGGACTGCAGGGGGAGCTGTCCCATGTGATGTGAGCCTCTGGGATCCGTTCAGTGGCACTGAGCATGGTGGGTGACTGATTGCAGGAGGATTGGTGTCCCATGGCACTCTTGCTTTGGGTAGATCCATGCTCAGCTCTTATCCTGCGGACCCCGCCCTCTCAGGCTTCCTTGGCACGTGCATCTTGGGAGGGCTGGGAGGAGGGCATTGCCAACCCAAAGTGTGAGCCTTGGACAGGCACTGAATTTGCCTCCCCCACAAGGCCCGATTAGCCTGCCTGGAGCTGCCTTCCCCCCGAATCTAGAAGTCAAACTCTGCCTAAGCTTTCTGTGCTGTCCCTGCCCTGGGGCTGTGGAGGTTTGTGACTCACAGATGCCCAGTGCTACATGGGGTGAGCAGGCCTTCTGCCAAGACCTCGTTCCATAGAGACTGGGGGCCCTGAGTTCCACGGAGCCTGCACACAGACGTGCTGGGCAGTATGGGCAGCATACAGGCACCGTGTCTGAGCACTGGCTGGACACACACTTGGGTGTGATAGCCGGGCTGCAAAACAGCATTCCTGGCTGCAGGGGCTCATCCCAGAATCTAGCGTCCCCGGCCGATGGGGCTCTTGCTCCCCAGCGCAGAGCTTTAATGGAGCCTTTCTGATTCCCAAGGGAAATTCTGGGCCCCCTGGGAATCCTGGGCCTAGAGGAGCAATCGGGGATCCAGGACCCCCTGGGCCTATTGGACCTCCAGGACCATCAGGACCTGCCGGAGAGTTTGTCAAGGTACGTTCCCTTCCCAGTTGGGAGGAGCTGTTCTGAGGCCCTGCCCTGGCCAGCTAGGTAAGTGGTACCCCTCCTCCCTCTGTATGCACACAAACAACCTCCTACATGACACTGTGCACCTGCATGCAACCCCCAGCAAGCCCTCCACAACTCCTCCACGCATGCAGGCCCTGCCATGCCTCCCTGCTTGGGCATGCACTTGCTGCTTGCAGGTAGCATGCCCCAGCACCTTCCACCCATGCAGCCGTGCCCCTCCCATGCCTGTCTCTGGGATGCTCACCTAGCTTGCCGGGGCGGGGCTGAGGTTTTGGGTTAGGGGTGTGCATGGAGGAGCCTGGAGTGCAGAGGAAACTCAGGCAGTGGTGGGCCTGAGGCAGACCCTCGCCTTGGTTTCAGAGGCACATGACAGGCTGAGGAAGTGGCACAGTTCAGGCAGCCACGGGCACCCAGAGCAGCCATCTACTTGGCAACTTCCTCTCCTTCCTGGCTGCTGCTCTTATACTGCTGCTAGTGGGTCCTGTCCTTGAGGGGACACAGCCGTCCTCCATCCCCTAAGTGATGTGGCTCTGCCCATGTGTCCTTTCCGTGACCAGCTTGGCTCCAGGCATTCCCGCTCCCCAGGCTGCTCCAATTAGCACCTTCCCTGGCTATAGAGGATCAGCCCCCACAGTGGAAATTTGCCCCTGTTGCCCCTTGGTTCCTGTGTGTGCATCATTCTCCCCCTCCCTGTCTGCACACTGTGTGCGACTGGGTCTCTCACCCATGTACACGTGGCCCGACCCTCGCTAGGAGTGCACACACGAGCCAGCTCCTCGGAGGTTGCTCCTGGTGTGGTGCTGAGCTGTATCTTGGCTTGTGGTTTCCTTGCCAGGTGCCCTGAGCTGTGAGTGCACCACGGCCTCTGCGCATTGTTACAGGGAGCGCTCCCTTTAACCCCGTGTGTTTCCTCTTGCAGGGGGCGAAAGGCGAGCGAGGGGAGCGGGTAAGTGACCTTCCTCCTTGCCTGATTTTTTTCCCCCTGTGTGCTGCACTCTGGGGGCTGGGGCATGTAGAGCTGACAGGCCGGGATGCTCAGCAGCACCTGCCCCGCTATGTCAGTGGGTGAGTCCTGCAACGCTGTGGCAGGGCTACAGAGGGTCAGCCCTGTGGGAGCTGCAGCCAGTTAGCTGCAGGGTGGACTAAGATTCACTCCTCTGGGTTGGTTGACTGTGCTCGGGTGCAGAGTCAGCTCCTGGGGCCAGCAGGGCATAGCTGGGGGAGGGGGTAGGAGGAGTGTGACGTGATGTCTGAGCTTCCTGTGTCTGTCTCTTTAGGGCCTGCCAGGGCTGATTGATGGGGAACCTCTCAGAGGAGAGCCAGGTGCCCCGGTGAGTACCCCCCACCATGACTGGCTGGGAGAGGAGATGCACAGGGGAGCGTGGTGGCTGGGGAGCATGACGGGTGGGAATGGGGTAAGGGTGACTGAGGGGCTGTGGTGCATGGGAAGAGGGTTGGAAGGGGCAGAAAAAGGCTCCATAGAAAGGGGAACGGCCCTTGCTAGAGGTGCGAAGTGTAACCCTTGTGCTGTGGCTGGATTCCCATGAACGCCAGGCCTGGGCTGCCCCGTGTTACTCAGGGCTGGTCTCCATGCTGCTCACGTTGGTCTCAGCTCGTTCTTTCTCTCTCGTTCCTCAGGGCTTGCCTGGCAACCCTGGTGATCCGGGCCCCCGGGGACCTGCTGGGCCACCAGGACAGAAAGGAGACAAGGTAAGAGAGGGGCTGAGGTGAGAGGCTGGGGCTGCAGAAGACCCCAGGCTGTGCTAGTGCAGGATCCGCTGCTGTCCCCACACCCCAATCCACTGTGAGATTGGGCTCTGGTCCCCCTTCTGCACAGAGGCACTTGAGGCCGTGAGCCAGGGCAATGCACGCATGGTAGGAGGCCTTGCTGTGGTTTGTAATCGCCTCATTTCCCTGCTAGCCTGGAGGAGCAGGGCCATTTGGGCAGCCTGGGCTCAGAGAGCCATCCTCACTGGCTCCCATCCCCATGAGTTAGCTGCAATTGTCTGTGCTGGGCACTTCCTTTGCTCTTTGTCCCCAGGGCGATGGGGAAGAAGGTTTTCCAGGGCCACCGGGTCGGCCAGGGGACCCAGGAGATCGGGTGAGTCCCCTAAGAGGAGGTAAGCCACGCCCTGGTGCAATGAGCCCCGCTGGCACAGAGCACCCTACAGGCCCATGGGACCTGAAGTAGCAGACCCCTGAGTGCGGGGCAGGGCTCGGAGCTGGGAAAGGCCAGTCTGACCTGTGAATCCGTGCCCCAAGCAGGGCAGAAGAGAACCTCTGCATCAGAGCCTGCGTGAGACCCACTGGGCCAGGGCTCTGCTCTGTTGCCTGTCTCCCAGCCCCAGCCCTGCCTCTCCCTTGCTGGATGGCAGGCCCTGCCCTGGGGGGAGGAGCTCATGCTCTGGGGGCAGCCCGCTCAGCCAGGAACCTCCCCTCTCAGCTCTGGGGCAGTGGCCTTCTGGCTGGGATGTGCCTAGAGCAGGTGCTGCACTGGTGGGGCTCTGACCCCAGGCAGTGAGGCCTGAGCAGGAAATAGCCCTCTGAGCATAGGCAGCCTGAGGAGGCCGGAGGCTGCGCTGCGAGCGTGGGGCTGGATGGGTCCTGGAGTCCAGCCGTGACAACACACCTCAGCGGGCTTGGCCAGGGTCTCGCTGGCGGAGGTGTAATGCTCCTGATCTCCTTTCCTAGGGCCCGAGAGGACCTGTAGGTGAACCAGGAAGCAAGGTGGGTCTCAGGAGGCCTCCCTGCTGGTGGCAGAGTTGGGATCTGTAGGCGGGGCGCTCGGTTCTGCCAGTCCTGTGCTCTGTGACCTTGGGCAGCCTCATCTCCTCCCTTCTGGCCCTGTAAATGGGGGCGGCTGTGTGTTCCCCTGGGGCTGTGGGATAGCATGCCCTGAGATCCCCAGCGGGCGGTGCTGAGCGTGAATTGTAAGAACACAGGCAGCCTGTCCTGTCACACAGACACCTGCATTCTCTGTGGGGGAGCTGGGGGATGGGTCGCAGCCCCGATGCCTGGCTCTTCGGTGCGTGGCCAGAAACCCTCTGTCTGGGATGGCCGAGGGGCTGTCTGGGATGGCGCAGGGCAGCTCACGGGGGGAAAGTTAGAGGGAGCCAATGAGCTTCTAAGGCCACAAGCCAGTTTGGCAATCCTGTGCCTGGGGGAAGGGCAGGGCAGCACAAATGAGGAGCTGCTGTGCCCCACAGCTTGTGGGGTCTCCCCAGGAGGCATCTGCTGGCAGCTCAACCACTTGCCTCTTGGAAGCTCCAGGATGAAAAGGGGCCGAGGCCTCTGGTGCCCCAGGACTCCTCTCGGCTGGGTCCCATCCCGAGCGTGGTCCCAGCATCTGCCCGCACTGATGCTCTTGTCTCTCTTGTGACAGGGTGACCGAGGACAGCCGGGAGAGCTGGGAGAAGCAGGGGAGAAGGTGAGAGCTTGCTGGAGCCCGGGACTGGGCTGTGGGCACTGGGTACATAAGGCCTGGCTCATGGCCCTCGGGGCAGTGCTGTTGAGTCACGACCTCCCGTCCGACCCAGAGGAAAGCTTGGGACCAAGCAGATGACCTGTCACTGCTGGAGCAGGCTCCACACACAAGACTCCCGAGCTGAGGCTGGCTGCTCCTCCCATCTCCCAAGGGTGCTCTCTTTGCACAGGAAACTGGGCTCTGCAGCCTGTACCCCTGGGTCTTCCCTGCCCCCTGCCTCTTTCAGCTGCTCCAAGCCAAAGTTCTGCCCCAGAAAAGATGGGGAAAATCAGAGCCCTGAACAGGAGAGCAGCTTGTCCCCAGGCAGGGAGAACACCCCAGGCTGGGATTTCCCTGTGACCATCACTGTCAGCTAGCAGCCTGCCCCGGGAGGCGCTCGCAGTCTGCCAGCGCGCTAGAGATGCGGACAGACTGGATGTGCATTGCTGGGCCCTCGTTTGGGCAGGACCGTGCTCAGGGCTATGGCCCTGTAGCATAGAATCCCTGCAGGGGGCTCTATAGGAGGTAGATGCTCTGCCCTAGTCTGTTTTGACTGGGACTCCAAAGCGGATGCCCATTCGGCTGCTGGGGAGCTCTGCAGCAGGCAGGGTTATCCAAGGGGCCCCGGCAAGCGTGAGCCCAGCTGAAATGCCCTTTCTTGTTTCTGTTTCCTCTGCAGGGCGATCGCGGACCCCCTGGGCCGGAAGGGCAGAAGGTCGGTTGGCTCACAGCTAAGGGCTCGTGATTGCTGGGGACTGGATAGTTTCTGTTTCCTCTGCAGGGCGATCGCGGACCCCCTGGGCCGGAAGGGCAGAAGGTCGGTTGGCTCATAGCTAAGGGCTCGTGATTGCTGGGGACTGGATAGTAGGCAGCAGGGCCCTGGCCAGGGAAGTGGGGTCAGCCTTGTGGCCCTGATCGGCATATGAGAGACAGCATCTGGTTGGGGCGGCGGCTCTTCTGTTGGGCCAATGCAGTGGGCCCTTGCCCTTGCTCTCTATGCTTCCCCGGCGCTTTTGCACAACCGATAGAGTTCCCTTCCCCCAAACTCCCCCACGAGCTGCAGCTCCTGAGTGCTGCCAGGGACTTAGATCGAGCAGTGCATGTGATCCCAGCCCAGGAATGGCTGGGGCTGGGGCAGAGACCTAGGGGAGGTGGGGGAGGCTGAGCAAGGCGATTGCCCTCGGAGCAGGCTGGCTCCGGTTGGGCTGTGCGGGTGCGTCGGTCCTTCCTCAAGTGTGCACTGAGCCCGTCCTGCTTCCTCTCACACCTTCTCTCCTGTTTCAGGGGGAGCTGGGAGCCCCAGGCCGCCTGGGCCCAACAGGCAGAGAGGTGAGTGTGGGAGACCCACCGAGCCCAGGTGAAACGTGGTAGTGCCAGCCCCACACGGCTGAAGAGCCAGGCAGGCGTGCTCCAGTTCCGAGAAGCCTGCTGCAGCGCCCCCTGCTGACCCAGCACAGCGTTCTTCTCTCTGCCCCTCCGTGGAGCTTGCCAGGCCCAAGGGATGCATGGAGGCGATAAAGGGCCAGAAATGACTGTGGGAACCTCCTGTAACTGTCCTGTTGAGTCAGAGAGAGAGTTTGGTGGGTGGGAATCCTCCCTTCAGCTCCTAAGCAACGAGCCCCAGCAGGAACTGGCCTGGAATCCCCATCCAGGGTTCCTGGGCAGTCTGGCTTTGGCCTGGGGCGAGAGTCTGTGTGGGGGCTGGCACTCTCTGCATGGACAGAGGAGGGCACCACCAGTTCTCTCATGGGTTCTCTTGTCTCTCTAATCCCAACAGGGATTGCCAGGACCGGCCGGCCCACGAGGGGAGAAGGTAGGGACCCTTCGGTATAGCCTGTGTCCTGCCTGCTTGCTGGGCCCTCAGCCGGCTCTCGGGCTGAGCCGAGCATTTGTGGGGCATCCGGGGAGTGAGAGATGATCATGCCCACTGCACTCATTTCCCCCCATCTCCCACCAGCGCTCCTACCTCGCAGAGTTCTTTCCTCTGTGTCTTCTCTGGGCCTGTGCCTCCCTAGTGCTGACATGGTCAATGTCCCTCCCGCAGGTCTGGGCCTCGGGGCCAGAAACCCTGGGCCTAAATGTAGAAAATACAGTCATTGTCCTTAAGGCAACAGACAAGGGGTCAGCTACTACCCTGCTGCCCCTCTGCATTCATCACTGACCTGTGGTGGGTGTCGGGGGGCCGAGTGAGCACTGGAGGAGGAGTCAAGGCTCTAGGCCTCTCAGAGAGAAGTGCTGGGAATCTCTGCTGGTGGGCTGGGCTGTTGGATCTAGGAGGAGCTCCTAGGAAAAATAATATTCCCCAGGTGGCTCTTTCTAGAGCAGGGGTCTTCCCTGTGTGCCTTGTGCCGCCTGCGCTCACTGGGCACAAAGAATGGGACCTTTGGTGCTCTGCCACTCCTCTGGGACAGTAGCACTCTGCTAGCCAGTGTCACTGCCTGGGACTCCGGCACCGCGGGGCCCGTGGGCCTGGGTTCCCAGCGCTGCAGGGGAAGGGGAATCCTTGTGCTCTTTGGATCTGTATGTTAAAGTCTTTGTGCCCTTGGGGGAGAGGGATCAATAACGCAGCCCTCCAGGCTGTTGCCACACCCCTTGGGAATCTCCTTGTGATGGTAATGCCCAAACACTGGCAGCTGGGTCCCTTGCTGCCCAATGGGAAGTGTGGCCTGCAGCACTCTGCCTGGAGAAGAGGCCGGGGCGGTCACAAAGAGGGAAGAGACCCGCTCGGCGAGAA